AGCCGCTGTTGAAACTGATCAGTTTCAGCAGCGGCTGAATCTGGACGCCAGTTCCGACTTACATACAGATTCAACTTAAGAACAAACCTACAGTCCCTATCTTGTACGTAACCCGGGGACTGCCTGGTACCTTTATTAAAGACAATGATTTAATGTCTAGCATAGGTATGAATTTAAGATTCCTAGAGGAGAAAGGAAATTGGATGGAACAGATTATTTGAGGATGAAAAATTAGGGGGTAGAATCATATTATTGATGGGAAGTGAGTGGGGGGTTGGAAAACGTTAAGAGATTTATTTGGTTTGCTGGAATGCAGAAATTGCAAAGAGAACAGAATAGCTAAGATTGCCTATAAAAGATTCTCTATTTTTCAGTTTCATTAGACTTTAATCAGCTGTTTCTCACCAGTAGAAATTTGGAAGTTATTGATCTAGGTTTCAAATGGATGATTTGAATTATATGAATTTATGCCTGAATGCTAGGTCTACAATACAGAGATTACAGCAGCACAACTGTACAAATGCAGTTGTGCTACTGTATAATCTCTTCTGTAGCCATTTGTCAACAGGCTAGAGCTCTGATTGACATGATTAAACTACCCCCAATTAGTAGTGTTAGCTAAGTGAGTGGGAAAAAATTTTCTTGCCAATGTAGCACTATTCACACTACTGCTTATGCTGACAGAATTTATGTCATTTGGAGGAGATGGAAAGGAGTTTTTCCAACACTCCTGAGCAAATTTTGAGGACATAAATGGTAGTGTAGACACAGCCTAAGCATGAAACCATTAAAAGGAAACAGCAGGAAAAACAGTGGAATGTACTGAAATAATGAAGGTAAATGCTTCTGAGGAATTTTTCATTATGGTTAGGGTTTAAGTAGCTATATTGAAGCAAGAATCCTTTCTAGAAATGCAGAAAATAGGTTCCCAAACTCAATGCATCACTGAATCATGCTAGTATAGTGCAAAAAGTAAGCAGACATTTGCTGATTCTGAAAATAAAGAAATTCACTCTCAATAAGCAGTTACAGGAATCATTTAAGTTTCATCAATCCTTATAAGACCTGCAATCCAGTTCAGTCACCTCAGTTATTTCTAGTACATTCAGACTGGCTCAGACGTAGTGGTAAAAAAAAAAAAATGTATGGGGTAGATAATGAAATAGCATCAGTATCAAAGACAGAAATAAAAAACTCACTAATTAGAGAAGAGACTGAGGAATGTGTTTTACCTTAAGTATTTTAGCTTTTCATTTCTGGCCATTTTTCTCTAGATTTCCACTACCTTCAGGCCTAGTGCAGTAAAACTCCGGTGGTCCGGCATCCAGTGGTCCGGCACGGCTGATGGTCCGGCACCAACTGCAACCCGGAAGTGCTCCGGCAGCTGCTTCAAGTTGTTAGTGTAATTGATTAACTGCGACTGGATTTACAGTCAACACGCAGTTAATGTACCTTTCCTCTCTGCTGCCTGGAAGAGGGGGGCCAGGGGAAGGTGGGGTTG